ATCTGCTTTGACGGTCTTGTCTTTGTGTATTTCTTCCTCAATGTGTCCCACGCTTCCTTTGCTGATGCGCATCCTTCTATGAGCTCCTGATCTCCGTCTCCAATGCAGATATGGATAATGTATCGTGCCTTCGCATCCAGCTTCTCTGCCTTCTCAACAAGTACTTTAGCATGTACTAATACTGGCCAGATTTCTTCTGCTTGAAAGTGGAAGGTAAGGAGTTTGAACCATTGTTCGTGATTGGCACGTGTGAGGATTGGCACTGGTCGTCTCTTTGCCATAGTGTCGTCCATTTCGATGGTAGAATAAAAGAATAATTAGTATAGAATTGAATCAACTAAGATAAAAGGAATGTATGCTCTAATCGTCACAGACTTTCGAGCGAAGAAGGAATGTATTGGTTGATTGCTATTGCACTCAGTCAATCCCGACAGGGTCAATTAACTCACGAGCTGCAATAAGCTGATTTCCGAGTCTCAGGATAAAAATACCTCTGCTCTTAAATCCATAGACTTGTAATTCCGTAGCCCTAGAGTATTCAACTCACTCACGTTCTACAATTGAGTATGACACGACTGTACCTCGCCACAGGAGTAGCAGCTCGCTCAGTAATCTCAATTGGGCCTTCACTCACCGTTGATGTCTATAGCTGTTCTGCACCGGGCTCATAACCTGTTGAACGGGTATACGGATTAGGAACAGCTATCGACACTATCAACGGTCACAACTTGCATGCAGAGTGAGATCACAGTGCATCTGCACACCAAGTGCAGATCCTGCTAGCGCATGGATCACGTGGTATATCCTGTGCCACCAGCACATGAAATCCTGCACTATACCTGATTAGGAATAACCTGACCGGGCAATATTTGGCTGTACGTGTACAGCCAAATAGTGCAGACTATAGTCTGCTGATCGGCATGCATTCTCAACAATTCAGCCTTTTAAGAAAGGCAAGGATATTAGCGTCATGATATGGGGTGCAATTTATAGAAATAGGCATTCAGATATCGTTCCTTTAGAGCGTGATCCTGATTCAGAGAAATCAGGATACACTGCTAACCCTTATCTCACTATTCTCTGTGAGCAGATCCCTCGAACGTACGAACCTGGTCGGATTTTCATGCAAGATAACGCCTGAATCCATACTGCAAAAAAGGTCATAGCCTGGTTTGAGGAGGAGGGTGTATCTCTGCTTGAATGGCCCCCCTATAGTCCGGATTTGAACCCAATTGAGCACCTCTGGGCGGAACTCAAGCAATGGATCAACGACCATTACCCTGACTTAATCCAAATGGGCAAATCCGAGGCTGACTATCAACGTCTGTTTACAGCCATTCATGAGGGTTGGGACGCCATTGGGCAGGAAGTTATTGATAATCTGATCAAGAGCATGGATACCTGTATAAATGCCGTGATCAGGGCCAAAGGATGGTACACTCGCTTCTGATATCTAGTCGCCTATTTAGGAAACTAGTACCATCCGAAAGAGCAGGTTTCAACGTACTATTTAGTTGATTCTTATAGGATTCCAATAAATACCGGGCGTACAGTAGTAATTTGTATGGGAAGAGCGGAAAATGTTGGTGGGGTGAAAATGCGGGGTTGTCCGGATACTTTTGGTGTAGTACTGTATGTCTCGGTATATCGAAAATATCGAGCCTATTTCCCGCTAGCGAAACGATCAATTCCTCGAACCGGCCCTGGGCGATTTCAGTCGCACCACCCCTCGATATCAAAAGGCTTGTTCAGACTTCTTGATTCGTGCTTCTGTATGGAAAGACACATTGTAGTTATTAAAAGGTATGTCGACGTGGACAGCCTGTGCCACTAGATTTTCGATATAGCCCAGCATGTCGACCCTATACCTGCTCACGGCGCACTTGCGGCCCGCCCCAATCAGACATGCCATAAGGCCACCAAGAGGCGTAATGCCATTCCGCTCACCGATACCTAGCACTGTAGTGTCGATGTGCGTGGCTCCAGATTCGAGAGCGCAGTAGGCGTTCGCGATAGCACACCCTGTGTCATTGTGGAAATGAGTCTCGATGTCACAGCCCACGACTTTGCGCAGTCGATCTTATCGAAGACTTCTCTCGGTGTGGCAGAGCCCACAGTATCGGCGATACCCACACGATTGGCTCCCAATCGATCGACGGAAGAGTAAAGCTTTAGAATCTCAGCAAAATCCGAGCGAAAGGAGTCTTCCCCAGAGAAGCGGATCTCAAGATTATGCGCTTTAACGTATTCGATAACCTTGTTGGCTTTGATGGAAATGTATGCTAAGTCCTTGTTGTGAGAATGCTTCATGAGGTGGGAAGAAGTGCCGATAGCAACATTGCTATGTTGGGTCATTAGATATTACTACATGATCCTGGAGGGATGACTTACATTCCATCGACGCCTGTTGAACGGCTATCCTTGCGTCGTCCATGTGGCACCGGATGTGGGTCAAAATCTAACCCTTCGTTACCGAGAGGTCCATAAAACGTGAACTCGACCTGCCTTGGCCTTCAAATTCAGCTTGGAAATAGCCTCACAATCAGCTCTTGACTGTTCAGAAGCAGCCGGCGACGTCAACTCGATCTGGTTGAGTATGTCAGCTGGGCGCACTTGAGTTCGCAGATAATATATTTCCATTGCGTAGATTGGCAGTCTCACATATTCTACTCCAAAGTCATCCAGTGCTTTGGCGATTTTGATCTTCTGTGCTGTGTCGAAGAAGGCCGTTGCAAACTGTTCGCCCTCGCGCAATGTGCTGTCTATGATTCTGAAGTTGGAAAAGTTGCAAGAAGAGCATAGTGAGGAGGCCTCGGTGACAGCGCCCTCGTCATGATCTTCGTCCTCGCGCACTGTGCCGTCTCTAATTGTTCAAGCTGGAGAGATTGCCAGAAGAGCACGTTGAAGAGACCTTGGTGACAGCTGCCCCGTCGTATCCTAAGTTGGGAGCAATGAGCCAACAACTTGACCACAAGAGGAGCGTTTCCCACCATTGTCATGACAATTTTCGCCATCACCATAAGCGCCCTTGGTACTGCTGCTGGCGCCATTCGCCAGGGTATGGCTTGTATGGTGGGAGGTCGGTTTGCTAGCTGAGCACATGATGTTTGTCGCGGTATTTGACGTAACTCAGTCTATGTAGTTGGGTGCAAAATACTCGTGGGTGTTGGTTGGGAGATATTTATGCACATTGAAGGCGAATTTGGTATGGTCGTGACTCATTCTGACGGAAATTTCTCGGCGGCACCGAGTATTGGCAGCATCTACCCAGATTCTCGACTGAGTAAGCACAGGCCTTTAGACGGGATCAAGGTGGAGTTTTCACTCACTTCTCGTAGTGCCCTGAAGCCCAATTCTGATCCTTGAGGGTCTTCTTCGCATGTCTTTAATTATCCCTGATGCTATCGCCTGAAGAGCTCTCTGCTCGTAGCCATTAGCGATGGCCCTTTTCAGTAGCTACGCTATTAATACATCTTTCCGGCCCATGACGGTGCGGCGAATGGAGGGAAAAGTAAGAATGAATGTGGTGGGAGGGAGCAATTGCAATCTTCTGAGCAAGGCGCAGGCCGCTCTCCTTTATATCTACCATGGCAGCCATTTCAGAGGCCACCTAAACCAAGCCGCTCAAGAGCGCGCGCTCTACTAGATGCTCGAAGGTGAGAGGAAGGATGGGCGTGGAATCCAACTGGGGTGCCCAATACCTCTGCTTCTTTGATAAAAAGGGAACTCCAACCTAATGGCTGGACTTGGGTCTTCAGTGCTCTCCATCAAAGGGGCAGCCTGCGCGGGGCCCCCTGACGGGCCAGTGGTCCCTCAAACCCAGCAGATGATACGGTCTGCAGTGGGCAAGGTCGCTCAAAACCAGTGTATCCATCAAATCAAATAAACCAAACCTTGACCCCCATTTGATTGCTTGTCTAATCCAAGAGGTCAATTTGATTTGATTTGACTCATTTGTCAAATGGAGTCAAATTTTAGTAAGCAATGCTTTGTGAAAAAGACTGCCTTTTCGTGAATTCATCTCACAAAGGGGGTCTGCCAAGACCTTTTTTTCCCATCAAAAATAATCTACAAAATAATCTACTTTCCGCCAAGACCTCTATTTGACTAATTCAAAGTTTGTCAAAAAAGTCTCAAAGTCTTGATTTGATTTGACGACATACTGCTCACAACGCTCAGTCGATACTAGTAGTTATCAATAGTGCCTCGAGTACTGAGCATTCAGTCCCCTAATAACACCAACCTTGTAGGTTCACCCTGGCGTCGTTCAAGATGGTGCTCAGCTCATCAGGACGATTTCAACCATTGCGGTGACGCCGAAGCTGCTTGCTGTACTACTTACCGGGTCGTGTCTTGACAGGGCCAGATGTGAAATACAACGACGATCAAATCGCTAGTACTTACTAGATGTATACAGCCCGAACGCCTTGCAGAAAGATTGCTTTGCGAACCTTCCTTGTTCCGTTCACTCTTCACTCACTTCAGCATTAGCTGAGCACCAACAATTAAATTTCTTGTGCTTGTGCTTTTGATATTATAGTTAGTTGATTTTGATTTCGAAAATCAAAAACCAATGTCTCTCTGAAACCATCCAGAGCTCTCAACACGGTACCTCAGTTCTGTGAACAATGCACAAGCTATTGAATACTCTTAGGCATCTGGCATTCCATTTTTTTCTTCGCTTGCATCGCCAAAATGTCATTTCTCCAAGATGGTAAGAAATGTGGATGGATCTCTAGGTATAGGCAGGATGAGAACACAAGATCCGATGCATACTCTCCAGATGTACACGAACCAAGATTCACTCAAGGCACAAGTATCCAAGTTTGGTACAGAACTATTCAACACCAATTCCGCCCTCGGATCCCGTCTCTGCACGTTTCTACCATTGCTACGAGTACATCAACCTACATCCGCCCATATAGCTAGCTACCACCCAACCCTTCTCAACGAGTCGGCCTCCCATACCCCGGACGACCAGATATATTCATCAAACAAAGCACACAGTCATCTCCTCCAGTACAAGCAGTATTACAATGACACCGTCGATCTTGGCAAGACCCATGCCCTGGCACTTTGACCCCGCCGGTGGGACACTTGGCCGCCACGTAAGGCCGGTGAAAAGCGACTTGCTGTAGCATGGGGCTGGTCCGCCTCTTCTCCTGCTCTACCACGTCTGGTAGAGATTCTTTCATTCGTCGTCTCTCTTGTTCGCTGGCAGAGCGGTAGGCGATCGCATGACGCAGCAAGGGGGAGGCGGCGCGCATATCGGCCTGCATCGCCTCATCAGAATATGTGTAGGCCAGCATATTTGCCAGGGAGATCGAAGCGTCGGGGTCTGAGGAGCCGGTGGCAAATTGAGCTCTTAGTTGATGCGGGTAAACGATAGGACCTTGTAGTCGGGGTCGAGATGACGGAGGGCGTTGCTGTTGCTGTTCTTGTTGTTGCGAAGCTTCAGAAGCCTTAGAGGTCCGCGGTACAGGTCGAGAAGATGAACGAGCTTGCCGGTCCTTGCTTTTCAATTTCCCCATTTTCCTCTAATCTTCTTTCACCCTATCACACAGATTGACCTCAACCAATATAACGACTCTAAACAACACTTCCCTATTCTCGTGCTACAAGCCAAGTGATAAGTAGTAAAGTTTACAAGTAGAAAGTCTAAATGATCTCACTTTCTTATATAGTTGGATTAGTCGGGGAGATCGGTTCATCAAAAATCAAAACAAGATTTGCTGTGGAACGTGTTTTAAGGAGTAGTCAAGATCGAGGCTTGGAAACGCGTCTGTAACATTAGCTTCGATTTTTGAGGTGGTTATGGCGGACTGTTATTGGGTTGACGACACATCAAAATTTTGAACTTCAAAATCAGTTTTGAGTTGTTACGAGAGCTATGCAAGTCCATTCTCACAGTATATATTAATATTCCTCTTGTGAATTATAGTCGTACGATGTTACAGAAGACTAAGAACTTAATTTATTATATATATAGAAGGTATCTTAAGTAGAGAGTGTGCTAAGAAGAGGATGCAGAAGAGGGTACCGCAAGAGAAGAGGGTACCGCAAGAGAAGAGGGTATCTCAAGAGCAAGAGGGTATCCCCTTAGAGAGTAGGGGCCTCAAACAAAATCATGTGACCCCCGTTGCTGGCTTAAAACTGATTTTGAGATTCAAAATTTTGATGTGTCGTCAACCCAATAACAGTCCGCCATAGGTGGTTTCATCCTGTAAATAGTTTGTGCATTTGTAGAGAAGAAGAAGAAGCCTGAAGGAAAGGTTGACGTCAAGTGACGTGTAGCGTAGGTTACCAGGCCGTTCCCGTTCATTACTCCAAGGGCTCAATGCACAAAGCAGTCGCCATCTCAATGGCATACTAGCAGCGTAAGATCTTGCAAATCGGTGATTGTGGTCTTTCACCATTTAGTTTTCGTAAAGAACGCGCTTTCATAAGCATGCTCAGCTATTTCTCCTGCCTCTCTTTCCTTTTCGGTGAGCGTCGCACAAGTCGTTTTTACATATTGGAATTAGATCGTTGTTTGCAGCTAAGTGGTTGAGTTTTCCCATTTCGAACCCAAATAAGGATGATTGTTGCCGCAGATGCTCTTGCTGCTATTGTCTCCCTTCTCTCCATCATGGTCATCCAATCGGGCTTCGGTTGGATACAGTATGAATGTCGTGGCCTCTCGATTCTGCACCTGGGTTTTTGGATGAGACAATGGACACGATTGCTGCTATATTTGGTGCCGCTGCCGCTGCCGTTAGCCATTGGTCTTCGAGCACATCGTATAAGAATATCCCCCAGATGAATGAAAGATGGGTATCTGATAGCTGGTTAGAGACCCAGAACGATTTGCGGTTACTCGTGCGACGGCCGCCGTTGGTACTGCTGCTAGTGCCGTAGTTGGGGACACTCTTAACTTGCACAATTCCTCGGAGTAAGATTGTTGAAATGCTGCTTCCAGCTAGAGCCATTGAGCTTTGAAATGACTGTATCTTTCTTGAGGCCTGGACGCTCTTCATTCGTTCAACTAGCTGGCGAGGTCTCTGCTTAGGGCTGTTTCCCGTGATCGTACAGTCTTGACCTCAACCAGCAGCTGCCTTGGTAACACCCTCCCAAAACCTCTTTAGCCCAAGCACATGCGCCCTCGTAGGCTGACTGCACCCACCACCGAGCATTTCTCTTCTTTCTTCCTCCCACCTCTTCGCAATCTCTGCCTCTCTTCCCCATCTCGCCTGCGCCTTTCTCTTCTGCCTCTGTAGCCCACCAACCCCCGCCTCTGCCTCACCCTTCTCCTCCAGCATCCTCCTTGTAAATCTCCTAACCAACCCCTTGACCCCCAAACCCTCCTTCTCTCCTTCCTCCTTCCGCCTCTGCACCAAGACCGCCCTCCTCTCAACCCACACCCTCAAGCCATCCTTCAGACTCTCCCTGATAACCCTCCTTCTCCTCTCTACCAACCCCGGCGCAACCGCATTTCCTCCCTTCCTCGTACATTCCTCCGGCAGGATATTCAGCTCCACCAAACTCGCCACACTAGGTCTCCTCTGCAGCTTACGACCCAGCGCATTCCTCAATCGTTCGCGCAGGAAACTTTGCCGCCTAGCGAACAAGGCGGGAGAGATAGGTGAATCGTAGCTTGTGCACTCCTTGGGCAGGATACCACGCACCACGAGCTCGATAGAACTGGGTCGCTCGAAAAGGTTGCGATTTAGACGGATGGTGATGAGGGAGCGGGAGATGCTGCGCGCAAGAAGGTGGGTGCGAGTCAAATAGATGGAGCGATTTGGCGGACGTAGTGTATCGAGTGAAGGGCGTTGAGACAGATAGTATTCGAGGCTTTGGGAGGCGCAATACAGGCGCTGAGTGTGGAGAACCGGATCAAGGGCTAGGGCGCGGAGGGTATGCGAGGTTCGAGATAAGGAGAGGAGGTCTGGTATGCTGAGGAAAGTGAGGATATGAAGAGCAATTTCGGGTGGGAGGGACTCGAGTTGTGCCATAGTAATCGGTGGTGAGGGTGGTTGAGATAGACAATTGATGTATCAGATTGGGCTTCATGAAGTCAAAGTGGAAGTTGGTGAAGAGTTGATTGACTCTCAAGATGGTGACCCTGATTGCCTGTTCCAAAACACATCAGCAGATGACGCGGTTGCCGTGGGGGCCATATCCCCACATCCCATCTGCATTACCACCTGTTCCAAGGGACTTCGGTGGTGGCCAAGATCATGATCTATGTGGTTAAAGGTTGATGGGAGATTGTTGACTGATATTCTGTCTGAATCGATAATGCTTGAATCTAGCTAGCTGAAGCCATGAGCATTCCCTTCCCAGCCGTGACTCAATCCAGCCCAATATGCCCTACAACTCCAAAGATATAACCTGGCTATGCTACCCTTGCCGCCTTCTTGAAGATCTCTTATATCATACATCCTCCATCGCACCAGCTGGCTCATCCTCATCTCCGTCGCTATCAAAGTCCTCCACCGAGCTCATTTCCCCATCCGTCTCACCCTCCTCTCCTGTCTCATGGTCCCCATTGTTGGAAGCGTATCTGGTAACGTATTCCTTTACCTTGGCTTCGTAGCTTTTTGGTTCCCTCATGAGAAGAGCGGCCGCCTCGCCGTTTAGAGGATCTGTAGGATTCGGATACCGTAATAATTGTGGGAGGAAGACCTCGAATATGTTGATCATGTCGAACATGGGTGACCAGGTTTGGTTGATGACATCGAGGCAGACAGAACCGGATCTGCGTGCGACAAGTCAGAATAAAAGGTGATGCAAGGTTGGATAGGTGGCGGACGACTCATCAATGTTTGGGTGGAAGATCCTGTTTACGAAGCCAATTGAAGGAGATTTGTAAGGGTATTGGTCCGGGAGTTCGACGTGGACTTTCCATTGACCACCTGCGAACGGAGCTGCGCTTGAATGTCAGCGGACGTCCCATATCCAGCGAGATGCCCTGAAACTTGTTGATGGATTAGCACTACACAAACATACTCTCTGTCGGCCCCTTGAATGACACGTAAAACTCCTGCACTGTTCGAGGTCAGCTAGGAACTTACAAGCCGAAGCTCTGGACTGACTGTTATCGTTGATGAGAGTGACCTCATAATCACTCATCATCCTACGGACCAGGGTGAGTTTTGAGTCTATCATTTCCAATAAATACTCATACATTTTCATCACATCCGTCTCTATTCTCCTCTTTGGGCTGCTCATCTTGCTCCCTCACCAAGTATCCAGATGGGATCTCAACCCCGGTCAAGATGGATTCCTCCGAACGTTGTAGATCCTTGGTTGAGATATTGGCGTTGATCGGCGGTTAAGGTAGGAATCGTCCACCAACAGGAAGTGATCGACTTTCTGTGCCTGATCTTCGAGGACAAAACGTTCTATGTGGCAAGATAGAAGGGTTTATTCAGCCGTGTCACCCAACCACTTAAACAGATATCCGTAAGCAAGTGGCAATAGTGGGGGTTGCGGTAACAAAGGCTCAGTGCGAGGAGCTAAGTGGTCGAGTTTATTTTGCGGTCCTTTCTTACTTAGACGTTGGACACGGCTATGTCGGGGTTTATGAGTAGCAGGGGGAGACAGAAAAGTGTTCAGATGTATGTTGATGAATGAGAAAGTTGAAAGATAGGTCATGAAAGTGGGCAGATCCAGACTTTGTCGATGTCACATTTAAGCTGGTGTGACTTCTGGGATAAGAAAGTTGACGTGGGGTCATGCATGCCAGTTGGTTTGATGGTCACATGCACAAGAACGTCACGCCTCAGGAACACTCCCGAGTCATCGTGGGCAGTTGTTAGCATAACCATCTGGAGGGTAAAGGAGGATTGAAAAGTCATCTTCCCTTTCAGAGAGGAACACTCTCCTCGTAACATTACGGGAAGAATTATTAATCACACACAACCACTACTGTTGGGCGCCGCTAAAACTTCCCAACCCAGCATCTGAGGTACTCCGCCGCCTGTTCCGGGCTCTGATGCCGCGAAGGCAACCCCGGAGACTTCTCTATAATTAGGCATCGGGATTTGGTGGGAAGCCCGGAAGTAGAAGAATGTCAACACCTCGGTCTTGCTCAGCTCATTCAGCCCACGTCTTCAATTCTACGCTGCAGGTACCAGCACGATGAGCACAATAAAATAGACAATGCCGCCACGAATGACGAGGATGGCGGCTCAAATTTTTGGAAGACAGAATTCGTCTTCCCACCTTATCTTTCGTTGTCCTTCCTCTTCTCCAGGCTGAAAAGTTATGGCTGCAATTGCATTGCGCCCACGGGTTGTTTCATTCATCCTCAAGAACAGTGCTTACGCTCCTCGGCTGCTGCCTGCACCTCTTCCTACCCTCTCGTTGAGCCATCACCAAATCCGTCACAGCTCGCACGCTCCCGCGCCCTCCCTATCTCGTCTCCCTCCCGGTACTAAACCAGTAACAATCCAAACCATTCGAGACCTCCATCGCAAGAAGATCCCTATTACAATGCTAACCGCCCACGATTTCCCTTCTGCTTCCCTCGCTTCCGCAGCTGGCATGGACATCATCCTCGTGGGTGACTCCCTTGCCATGGTGTCCCTTGGCATGCCCGATACCTCTGAAGTCACTCTCGATGACATGATCCTCCATGCCCGATCAGTCAGCCGAGCAGCAGGTCCGTCCTTCACAGTCGGCGATCTGCCCATGGGCTGCTATGAAGTCTCACCGGAGCAGGCCTTGCAGAGCGCGATCAGGATGGTCAAGGAAGGGAGGATGCAAAGCGTGAAGCTGGAAGGCGGGGTCGAGTGCGCAGATACAATTAAAAGAATAACCACGGCCGGTATATCAGTCTGTGGACATGTTGGGCTAACACCGCAGCGCCAGCATGCTCTTGGTGGATTTCGTGTTCAAGGCAAAACTGTCTCCGCTGCTGAGAAGGTTCTGGCGGATGCTCGCGCTGTGCAGGATGCTGGTGCCTTTGCTACAGTTCTTGAATGCGTCCCACCTGAAATAGCCAGCATTATCACCTCCAAACTCAGCATACCAACTATTGGCATCGGCGCCGGCAATGGTTGCAGCGGTCAGGTGCTTGTTCAGATGGACATGCTCGGCTGCAGACCCCGGGGTTCGTTCTTGCCGAAATTCGTCAGACAATATGGAGACGTCTGGGAAAGGAGTCTAGCTGCCGTTGAGCAGTACCGTGATGAGGTGAAAACAAGAAGCTACCCAGCAGAACAGCATAACTATGCCGTTGACAGCGCCGTCGTGGAAACCTTCAGAGCCAGCGTTGATAGATCAGGCAATAAAATTCCGTAGACTTTATCCCAGCTCACCCAAAAGCCGGAGTCATCGAGTAAGCCACAATGAGTTGATCATCTGTTCTGAAGCACTACTCCCACGTATCAGTCATCACTCCAACGAAGTTACCGGAAGTTCCCAGAAGTAGTACAGAACTCACCCTAAAGAGATTTCCCAACCCCTCATCAAGCCCAGGCGCAAACACGCTGTTGACATAAAGGAAGACCGAATCAGTAGGCTTGCAGTCGAGCTTCTTGCGGAGGAAGTTGACGACCGTTTCGAACTTCATGGAAGCCGAGATCTTGAAGACCAAAGTGCGGAGAATGGGCGCTGAGCCCACGGGCTTGAAGCGGACGGTCACTGTGGGAGAGATCTGGAGTTAGTGAGGAGGAAGGTATGGGGTGGATGTGTTAGGGGTACTAGATGAAATGAAGCATTGACGGGATGGGACGTCGAGGTACGTAGTACAGGTAGAATGAAAAGGGACAACAAAGGTCTAGCATCTGGACGAAATAAAGAAAGACAAGACGAGGGTGGTTGAGAGTATTTCTGATTTCATGGCAGTCATATCAATGTCTTCCACATCTGAGAGGTAAATTGGCCATTATCACCGTCGCAGGCACCACCACCACCACCGTGCACCGAGGAATATAGTACATACCTTTACCCTTGTCCAATGCCTCGACCTCACTCAACGCCTGACTAGCATCCCTAGGCAGGTTCGTAAGGATGACCGATGCAGACATGGTCATCGGGAGGTCCACGCCGGGGTCCTCATCCGGCACGATTGCCGCTGGTGGGGTGTCTGAGCCTATGCCGGAGCTTGGGGTGGTGGTGCTGCTAGGAGGTAGCGATGGGGAGGCCATGATCAGGTTACTATAGATTAAGAGAGGAGTTAGTGCGTTAGAAAGATCGTGATTACTGTCCTAGATGTCAGGTTATTGACTTTCACTGTTCCATTTTTATTAATACGCTCCGCTTTACATGGACTTGGCTGGGGAGGTATATAGAGGATGTCTACGTACCGTGCATTCTATAAGTTCTGCGAAAAATCTAGTGCTCCAAAAATGCTGCTGGTGCTGCTTGATCATGAATACTGAATCTACAAATACAAAGTGAGCTATCTAATCTATACCATAGATACTGGATTTATTAACGAAGGGGGGTAAGATGTTGTCCGCATCATGTCAACTCTAGCAGTACATCTTCAGAACTCTGGATATCTATATCATTAGAATCAGAATGACTTAGCTACATTTTGATATAAATATCACATATTTCAATATGTTGTATAGCTCACAAAGCTCTTCCCCCATCAACAAGCAAGTGCCAGCAACCCAAAAGTAACGCTCTTGGTAGCTACGCTGGCTGCTGGGTATCATGTTGTATCAGGACTCAGGATGCTTCTCACAAGCCATGCTATTAATCGGATGAGCGTGACATCAATGTGATACCAATCTCCAGTACCCTTTGAGTGAAGAGAAGGATATTTCGCCGGTGTAAAGCGTGACTAGTAGTTGGCCAAGGTAGAAATTCCGTGATAAGAACAGCACCAAGCTAAGAAAAATCGGATGATTTCCATGACGGCGACTTATTTCACCCAGTCTTGATGTTTTGAACTCTCCACTTGGTAGTGGGAGGCCAGGACCTGAATATATTTGATTGATAGGAATTGCAATTACATGGAACTGATCCTCAAAATACACAAACCTGTGCATGGATTCTGATCCATCTGATCCATCTGATCCCAAATCCTAGTTGGCGATTGAGATCCAGTGGCGTGGCAACACAGGTGACATTGAAACGTGTTGAGACGATCGGAAGGCTTCATGCATGGCGTCGAAAGGTGATTGGTAGACAATTCAGAGATGGGCCAATGGCAGGAGTTGATTTGAGCTAGAGGTGCACTGACACCGGAAATGGCATAGTAAACGGGCGGACTCCTCGAAGTGGCCTCGCAGCGAATTTCTTTGAACATCCTGCCTTTGATTTTCTCTTTTCTCCTCATCATGGACAACTTCAGGAAGACCAGACCAATAAACCAACCATCGAAATTATTCTTCGACGAACCTCAAGACTGCTCTCTTCATTGGCAGCGGCATACATCTGCCAAGGTCTGATGCTGTTTTCAACCTGCCAAAAATTCGCTCAAGGATGCAGCTCAAATATGACATGTTGGTGTCGGATGATGTGTGCTGGCATCAGCCGTTCTTGAGCCATTCTTGACGGACATGTTAACATGTAGAAGAACAGACGACCGTCTTTGAGCGCGAGTGCCCCTGCACGTGACCCGCCACCAGTCCCAATCAGGACATCGCGTCCCTCGTCTCGCAGATACGTTTATCCGGGCCTGCCTGCGGTACCGAGAGGGAGGAAGCAGAATTTGAAATAATGTGAAGAAGCATTCACAGCTGATAGTCTAGGACTGCCCCAAAAAGAAGCGACACGGCTCAGACCTGGCTTGACTGCCAGAGTCAGCGGCTTCAGAGCACAATGCACCTTCCTTTCATCAACCGGGTAGACAAAACTCCGAGAACGCCGACTGGAAATGCCACAACTATTCTACCACCTGCAAACGTTAGTAACGTCAATACTATCGGTATGGACCTGGGGGCTTTAACATGGGGAGCAGAGGCTTACTGTTGTCGCTGGGTGCTGGTACCCTCCCACTGCCTCATGGTCGAATCGAGTTGTGACAACAAAGCACCGTGCTTTCTGGAGCTCGAATTCCCAAGGTAGAAAGCTTCCTCGTGCCGATAGTCTCTGGCATAACGTTGGATGGAGTATGAGGAAAGCGATGCCTGCGCTGTTCTCATAGCACCAGGGGTTGCAGTGGAGATCCCACTTTGGACACTTGCAGTCGAGGGCTTGGAATCACTTTGACGGAGAGGTTAGAGGAGCCATCTTGAAAACTGAGAAAGCAATAGGGGATAATTTCTGCTTGGAAAAGATTGGGGAGCTTGGTGAGGGAAACATCAAGCACAAGGTGCATCTTGCCATACCTCATTGTTGCGTTGAGCAAGTTATCTGGGTAGCGGTGAGAGCTCGATCAGAGTTAGTGGGGGGTGCCCTCAGTTCCCTATGCTATTCGGACAGCAGAAACAGCAGTTTCTAACAGATTGTTAGGATTGACCTCTGGTAATTGAGCAGTGTATCGCATTATGTGTAAACCTACAGATGTCGCGCCGTGTCATTGTCCAAGCTGTCTCCAGTTTGGTCCTTAAAATCTCAACGAAGCAAAGATCGTCGTGCATGAGGGGAATTGTCGAGGGTGCTCCGTATCAGCTATGGATGACCATCATGGAGTTTCCGGGGTGTCTCCTAGCCTGGACCTTTTTTTGCCACCTGCCACTGGTGCAGTGCCACTGCAGTACTAAGTAATCGAAGTAGCCCAAGCTTGTCGCCCTCGAGCTTCACTAGAAAGTGCATGCTTCGGTTGGTCGAACATGCTGCAGGACATCATCTAAAGTCCGATTCATATCCTAGTAAGCCGGCTGTTAATTCGTCCTCAACCGTTCAGAGGGTTGTAGCAGTCCGATGGTAATCACGAGGGCTCTCATCACCATGCATGAGTTTGTTACCTGCCTCTGCAGCATGAGGGTTTAACTTGCCATACAATGTACTCTATTATCACTCGTTCGTCTCCCCGCTAATTTCGGACCAAAGATGGGAGTGCAAGATGCCAGATGGCTTATGGACTGGCAACCATGCTGCTGCAGGACGTCAGAAGCTGTCAACCATACAGATGCAAATGTGATTGCTTGATGCAATCTGTTTTAGTAGACAGGCGAAACCCAAAAACGTTTCTGTGTACTAAGTTAGTTACGTAGTATGCTCATGATTTATCTCCCCGGACGTATTTCCAGTCCTTCCGAAGCCAGCCATTTCATCTCAAAACTTACATAGTAGGCCACGATGCGCTAGTGAGGTCATTTGAGAGTGTCGACATGTCAGGGGTCTCGGGGGATTGTTGAGCCACGGTTTCAGGTGGTACAAGGTCCAATGATGGGCACAGCCTTGAAAAACCCAAGGCTATGGGTGTGCAGACAGCGATTTGGCTGCAGGAACAGGCCAATTAATTTGGTTACTTCCAATCTATGTCAAGCTCGCCTTCAAACAATTCCAATCTAATTAGAAAATACTCCGAGTTGAGCAAAGGAACAGCGAGCGCAATACGGAGTACAATGCAACAATAATGTTCTTTGTAATGCGGAGCAAGAAAGTCCCGAAATCTCCAGAATTGCACACTGAACACATGAATCTTGCAAGCAAATGAACCTCTGTGGGTGGCAGCTCAGGTACCAGCACATGTATCCAGCACCACACCCACAGGTGTTTTGTTTGCCAATTTTGAGCCCATCCACATTTAATTGGTAGGTGCCTGATGTATGGGGACGAGATTTACGGATCTCACCTACCGATTGCCTGCCACTGATCAATCGTTCTAACTAGTAGTGGACATTCGTCTTGATGATCCCGGCTTCTGCTAGCCTCTGGATGCTGTTACAGAGTGCCCCCGGCTTTGTCGGGAACAGGTGACCAAGGATTGTAATCAAGACAGGGGTAAGGGTTCCTTGCAGGGAGGGCGGGGCTACCTAGCTGAAAAGTAGATCAATATCCCCTTGACTTGAAAACGAAATCGTCATGTGGAGATCGTCATGTTGGAAAATTCTAGCCTTGTTGGCTACAGTAAAGGCCGCGTAGAAGTGACTTTGTGACCCCGACTTTGAGCAAAAGGCAGGGTCTAAGCAAAGAGCTTAGGTATTCATTCCCAACACCTAAGAGGCATTGTGATGACAGTTTGTCACAATGGCCAAACGATAATCTGCTGTAGTCATACTAAGCGTACAATCAAGGTGGCCAGACATCGGAACCGTAAGTCTCTTGTGATACATGTAACGGTGGTGATTGAAGGAACCCTCAAAGGCGGAGCAACAGCAAATAGTGCGTGCGCCACCTTATCACTAAGTCATGATCACAATACTGTCCGCATGATCAGTTTTTCTGGCAACTCAGCCAGGGACAATGAGGGATTAGTTAAATATACCTCGAACAATCGACGATTTTGCATTTGGCAGATGTGTACGTAGTAAAAAATTGTCTTGGCCTGTACTGTATCTTAATTACTGGCACTAGTGCTAGTGCTTGTAGTACTGTAACCGCAAGGCTGAACAAATTACTTCACTCAATCAAATCAACCATCAAGGACCAGTATCTAAGAGCTTAGTCTACCGATGAAAGAAGATGCGCAAGAGCTAGCCATGAAGGCATACCATGAATTGAAATTGAGTTCGTCTATTCAATGGTAATGTCTTACCAGCGAACAGCAAGATGCCATTCAGTGCAGAGTTCCACACGTCTTTCATGTTGAACCCTTGATGCTCAAGATTTGGCACTTGTGCTACAGGTCCGTATATGCAGAAAGATTGCTTCTGTATCTGCCCCTTTACTGGGCGGCACACATCATAACTGTTATATATGATTTTACATTTACCATGCCATCAGTCTCTTAAAATATGCAAATCTTGGGATAGTGCCATTCTCTGTGTGCTTCAACAAAGGGGTTGCTATCAGGCATTAGCAACGGGATAGCAGTGATCTGGAAGTACTCTTACCTCAAGTTTCACATGGCGGGGATCAAGGTATGGCCCTCTGAGTGGCTGTGGCCTCCACCTGCGGTAACAAATCGTCGATCATGCGTATGAGGTGCTGATCAAAGAGCTGCGCAGATAGTGATGTCTGCATTCCAACGTACAGGATCTCTATTCTGTCCACTGAGTGCAGGTATCTCTCGATAGTGTTCTGACAAGAAGACCTGTCCTTGAGATTCGTATTATCACCGACAGGGCCTGGAACTTTTGGGATACGGAGTGTTTTCGACGTTTTGTTCTCTTGATGGAATTGAGCTCCAATGTTGACCAGTGCTGGGTGAGTGATGGCTGGGATAGACGTTGACACAAGGTTTGTTCCTTCACCAACCACGGGAGGCGAAGACGCTGGAGGCATTTCTGCTGCACTCAACCGTTTCTTGGTGGCCTAATGGGATACTATCGAATATCAGCAATCAGAAACGATATTCACATGGGGACAGCCTCTTCTACCTTCGTTTGTGCAGATACCGAATTGCGAGGGAAGCACGCACCGTAAGCAAAGGCGTATGTTCTCTATTGCGATGGGGTATGGCTAGACAGACAGAACCAAGTCGAATGAGAGAGGGGAGGGAAGGACAAACTTGGAAGATTAACGGTGTGTATGGCTATCTGTATCGCTTCTTCGCAAATACTAATCGCGGCTAGCTAGCCAAGATTACAGGTGTGCCGGATGCTGTCCGATGTGCTTGTAGTGTCTCTAGTCGAGATCTGAATTACGTCCTGGCTAATCTTTCGCTCACAATACCGTATTCGATGAATGGCCAATAGCAGCTCGAAGTGATACTTGAGACCAAGGTCGGCCACAGCCCCTAGGCTACTTTTCGCGGCTCGAAGTGGCTACATCCTTGACTTCGACCGGTCGCCATTGGCTATGATCTCACCTCCTGGAACAGAAGACTCGAAATCAAACCTTGCACAGAAGAAGCCCGCGAGTCCAGGGGCCGGGAAACGAGTAGTGGCTGAACCGCCCATGATTCGACAAACAAAGGCACCCCATTCATTGTTTGTCGGGTGCTGGGCCGGGTTTTCGAGTGTGTTCTGCTGTGTGGCACCTCAAACATCTTCGTTAGAGGCGGAGATCATGGTACTACGTACAAGCTTCTGGAAGCGATCATAATAATCGTAGCATTTCTTTCCCTGCCTAGCGCCTTGAAAGGATTCTTGTGTAACGCAAGACAAATTAATGATGTTCGCGCAGTTTTATCATTGGACCGTTGTAGCTGAGTGGAGTTTGGCACTGCTAGACCACATGGCTTTTGCCGGGGGAGATCTGCATGGTAGATTGCAGGCTACCAAACCTTAAACACCAACAACTCGTCTTGTACTATACTAAACGGATTGTGTGCAATCCAGCCAGTCAATACGTACCTACGGACGTCCATCCGCAGCTAGCGTTCTACCCCAATGATATACTCCAGTTCAAGTCCAGCATGTGAGAGGCCTACACATCGTTACCTGCGCATATGAAGCCGATCATGAGAAGGCAAGGCCTGATTTGTGTAGCAAAAGCACGCCGTCGCAGAGTACTTTAGACTCCGCCTTTTCTAGACAAGATCAAGGCAACAAGAAAGCTGTGAATAAATGTTCGACGATCGAAACATGCGATCCCTGCAGGCATCGACCGACTTGTGACTTTACAGAACGTCATGATAAAGAACGTAGTATCTTTCATGGCCCTCACTGGAGCTTAGGCTGGTGTCTACCAGCCCTGAAAAATTGGGGCCAAATCTTAGTTCTGCTTACCCGGGCACGTGGACAATAGTACTACGTTATTTCTCCACAGTTCAACCGGCTGGTGTAATTTGTTAGTACCAAAATGTGCCAATCACCGAGGTGACTTCTACTTCGCACCCTAGAGCTGAGGTATCGCCGTATCTAGGAAATTATTTAGACAATTTCCATTAGCTTACTGCGCGCCTTTACTAGTAGCAAACAACAAAATGCATATCAGCCAGAGGGGGTGAGACAAACTAGATCGCCTTCTGGCTGCACATTGTGAACTCACCGCTTTTTTATTCTGCCAAGGCCTTGATCACATTGCCCGTGTCTTAAGGTGAAACGGACAGTGCTTTTCTGACTCCAATGAAAGCAGAGAATGCGGGTCAGGGATACCGTCAAGGGTGTGCGTCAATTAGCAGCACGGTAGGTAGTAGTAACCCTATCATGCAGGGCGTTAATTGACGTGGCAGCCACGTGGAACATACAGATCAACCTGAGCTAGAACAACTTTCTACCAGTGCTTGTACCCTGGGCTGCCAGAAAGCGAATTTTAGCACATCGTTAAGCCGTCTTTAGTAATGATGTAAGTTACAGATTTCGTTTCTCTGATTCGATCATCGGGCTTCTCTAGCATCTTTACCCATATTTTAACCTCATTTCCCATGGACACATTGGTTAATCTCTATTTTTGCAACAATCTTGAATGTACACTAAAACTCATTTCTGGACGGGCACCGAGTAGCTCCGGCAACAGGCTCACCCAAACACCGAACAAGCTTGGACCAGTGGGAGTCAGTAAGGATACATCAATTAAGTGTGGTTCGGAACTCACAAGCACTGTCCTTTTGGTGGAGTGGTTGATTTGTGCCTCTTCTGCGGGTATGGTGATGACATGATCTAGAATTGATTAGTTTGTCTCGCTTGTCATGCTGTCTGTCTCCCTGTTTTAAGTATTACCTCCGCTGGTCCATCCGGAGAGAAAGACATGAATCTGCGCCTCAGTCCTACCTCATGAATGCCCTGGAGGGGCGCTGATTAGGCCTCCACTGGTCCACCCAACAAATATCTGGATTTCTCAAACTCTCCTTGACATCAGAGAACCGTGAGTCTACTTGTTTCACAATGCTATGTTTCGGGCCATGACTCCAGGCTCACTTCGTATTCGGCTGCACCATCCTATGTTGACCTTCGAGGCCCAGTAACATGTCTAAGGTGTGTGGCAAGTTCTTAATACTACGATTGATGCTCTTTGCCAGGTCTTTTTGTTGGAATCTTAATTGCACTCTCCCAACAAATTTCTCATCAACACCTTTTAGGACTAGGAATCATATCATATCATTTCTGCTGGAAACCGCCATTCACTCTACCCGGATCATGTAGCCCAGATGACATGAGCCATCCATATCGCGCAACAACCTCTGAGATTGTATTAAGCCCTGGTCACTCACAGACCATGGAGAAGTCACCACTCAACCTCCCGCAGATGTACTATAGTATGAAGGCGATTGTTTGCTTGGACTTCACATATTTCTACTGGCCCTGCATGAATTTATGCCTAGTTGAAGTCTCAAACCCCTGCTTTACCTTGATGAAGTGGATGGATGGAATTCTATCTATCTGCAGAATCTATCTAAGACGGGGGAGCAGGCTAATCTATTAGAGCGCGCAGACACGTGACACCAAGAGGATTTGGCTGTGGCATACCGCCAATTCCAACATACTTGACGAAGTAATGATACTACATCGGTTGATGTCCTTTTGTTCAAAGAGTCTTTCATGCCAAGATGATGCACGTGTTTCAAATTAACAAAGAGGTACAAGAATCATGGCGCCCCGTGGGGATGGTCACACCGCAACGTTTGTGCCAACTACTACATAACGTAGTAGTATCGTTACTAAATGACGGATGGGATCCGTAGTCTCTGTACCACTGACGTGCTCTGGCATCCCACTATGACTTCTTGATCTTCTCCGCCAAGCTGGTTAGTGTGTCATTTTTGGGATGTTGTCTGCGGGGAAATCCTGTTCCGTCTTCCCCGCTTGGGTCGTCCTCTCCCCTGTTTAATGAGCTGCGGTTCACAGCGCCATCAAGCATGAACAACAAATAAATGCCTGGGATACGAAGACGATAAAATGTCCTGAACTCTGATTAGGTTGGGACAAATGCGGCGCTGTGTTCTCTTACACGCTTCGTGAAACCAAAACCTCATGTGTGCAATGCATTGTGGTCTCATACTGTTGCGAGGTTTACCAGCATTGCTTGCCCCGTTTGGATTGTCTCATTGCCTAAAGCCCAGTTACTACTATCTACCAAATAGGTGAAACCTATTCATACGATTTGTCAAGCACTTGGAAATCATCTCCGGAAAGACTGCAACGCCATGATATTGTCAAGTCCACAAGGTCAATCATCGCCGGAAATGCTTCCCAACACGGGTGGAGCTAGGCGAATGACTTGAACCAATATGGCAATCCTCGCCGACTTTTCCACATTCCACCACAGCCGTCAAGTCTATGTGCACGAAAAGAAAGGTTTAGTCCTTTGCTGTATCCATGAAGATGACAATATTTACGAGGAAGTGATGATCTACACTCGCCAGTATGTCCTTCTGTGAAGCTGCAGGAGACTCTACTATTCGACATTTCCACCTATTCATTGATATGGGACCGTTACCAGGTAAAATGATATTCAACCCTGAATCAAGCACAGTACTGATATCTTTCGGATCTTTGACGAGGTTTTCGACCGTGATGGAACTGCTTGGCATATCCAACGAGCCAATGTCCGTGTCACTGTGGGCAAGCAATCAGTCGAGGGCTGCGAATAGCACTCATCACGATCTTATTCTCGTTTCCTTCATCCTGGTCTCAAACACTTGTTCCTTTCCTGGATTCGACTCAAATCTCCATTTCTTATTGCATATGCAGCCTGGTTAGAGCCCTCGCCATCTACAGCCTGAAACAGCTGGAGGATCTCCGTCTCTTTCTGAAGTTTCTTCCCACGAAAAACATATATTTACAATGCCGGGCTTATAATCCAGCGACCAGGTTATTAATACCCAAGAATGAGAACAGAACCCGTGATCTACCACTATTTCATTGACGTGAGCCCGAATCGAGGAAACAATCCAACTGCTCTTGAAAATGCTAGAATAGCAGCAGGATGTAAGTAGATTTGCTGTTGAAAAGGGACCTCCAAATCAGTGCATCAATGGCAATTTGATTCAAGGTGGAAAAGAAAGCAAAAGGGAACACCACTGGTCATGTGGGCGGAGGAGAAGGAGATGCTGGAGGCTCGAATGATATGGAAAGATAGCCGCCTTCCAGGGGTTAATCTCCGCCTAAGCTCTGCGGTTGAGCGACCTCTCGATAGTAGTATGACCCAAAGGCGGAATTCAATAGGATAGTCACCATCCTTTCAGCAGTTCTCGACCTATCTATGCATGTGCTTTGCGCCTTCCAATGAGTGTGGTAGGAACATGGAAGCGGAAATCCTCAAGATCGTCACAACATACAATCCTTGTTTCCCTTTTCCCACCGTATGTACAAGCAGCTTGTCAGCTCCAGCAATCTTCGGGATCGCCGCTCCCTCTTCTGAATCTACAGGGACCAGCACTGCCCTAGCTCAGCATGCCCTCGTCTTTGTAAAACCCCCCATCTCACTCCTTTGCCCCTCTGGCGCCCCAACCCCAAACCTCACTCCTTTCCTCCTCAGCCAACCTTCCCACCCTTGGGCCCACTCCCTTTACCGCTCGTCTCCGTCCTCTCCGGTCCCTTCTGCGCCCCTCTCTCCGTATCCATCTTCGGCTGACTAACCTCATGATTCGCCGGGCTCACCTTCAACGGGTCCCGGCCGTCCCCGGGCCCACTATCTTCCAGCTGAGACTCTGGATCGTTGTTGCCCGGTTGGAAAGCCGGGTCTTCGTGGCCCGCGGCGCTGTCGTCGCTGCCGGTCTTGCTGTATTCGTTGGATTCGGTGTTGATGGAATCGCGGTCCATGAGGGAGGATTTTTTGTCTGCGTCGTTCGGGTTGAGGATCGAGGCGGAGGTGGTGAAATTCCGGTGCTGGCGGCTAGAGCGGGGGGTGGGCGGCGTGAGGGGAGAGGGAGGCGGGTTTGAAGGAGGGGATGGGTGCGTAGGAGACGCATTCTTTGGGCTTTCTGAGATGTTTTTGGGGGTTGATGATTCGAAGACTAGTAGGTCTGAGTTTTGTGGGAGTGGTCTTTGAGTCTGGTGTTCGGAATTAATGTGAGCATTGGGGTAATTAGTTATTCAAAAATTACCATGACGTAGAGGCTTAGAAAATCATCATGACTTCGTCATTGGCCGTTCATAAGCGCGGGAATTCCATTAAGCGCGGCCATTACTTACAAAGGCGCGACTCCACGCTGCCGGCTAAAGATTGCCAACCAGTGGTGACAAGACATTTGAGAAGCTGTTGCGCAATACTTACCTTCATGCCATATGGGCCTATTACGTACTGACCAGCTAATTCTCCTTGCGAAACTATGTTTTTAGTCTACTGAGACAGAGAAGCCAGGAGGTCTTCAGAAGTTCTGACCTTTGATCGGCATATCATTGTTGCTCGGACCTCCGACGACACTTCGATCCTCCTTGGTAATTCCTTGCTCTGTTATCGCGCAAGAACAGAAGAGCTGGCTTGGAGAGCACTCTAAGATAACTTTGCCATTCGCACGTTCTGCGATCGAGCATCCAGCCTGGACCACACTCGCATTCGCGCCTGCTCTTTATCCTGCATTATGGTCGGAAACTGGCGTTCTGCGTCTTGAAAGGAAGATTAATGGCTTGATGCCTAGAAAATTGGATTCCAAGATTTGTGCTAGCATCTTTGGGCCAGCTCAAGCCACTGAACAGGTTCCTCATTATGGTGACATCCGTCGTAAACCAGCCATGTAGCTTCAGAGGGGTTTGATTCCACGGTGGATGCTGGCAATCCCACCAGAAAGATTGTCATATCCCAGTCCAGGAACTAAAAAACCTGCGTCTCCGATCATGGCTCTGAACTCTTCTTGAGCTGGGAAGCGTTCAATGCTTTCAACCAAATATTGATAGCTGTCCCTGTCACCTGCGACGAGCTGTCCAATCAGAGGGATGGCTCCAAAACTCCATCTCTTATAAACTGCATTGAACAAAGTACTATTCACATGACTGAACTCGAGACATGCAAAGACACCGCCGGGCCGAAGAACTCGAAAAGCTTCTCGTAATGCAGCATCCTTGTTTGTGAAGTTCCGGATGCCAAATGCGACTGTGTAGAGATCCACGGAGTCAGAGGGCATTGTTGGCATAGATTCTGCATTGCCCTGGACGAAATCCAACCGACCGGTGTCTGCGTATTTGCTCGCAAGTGCTCTTTTCTTCCCTTCTGCAAGCATGTCCGGATTAATATCTGCGATGGTAACTTTGGTACTGTGATCGCCATTGATTTGAGTCGCGTGGTCAAGCATTCGAAATGCGATGTCACCCGTCCCACCAGCTACGTCAAGAATATTCCACCCTTGGCCACTTGTCGAACCTGGGTTCAGCGATCTGACGAAATGATCTTTCCATATTCTGTGAATGCCAAGAGACATGAGATCGTTCATGGTATCGTAGGAGGACGCAACGGAAGAGAAGACCGCGCCGACTGTGTTAGCAATCAGCCTAGTTTGAACACTCTTGTACGCCTGATCCCACCTTTCTTCTCCTTCTGCGCCTCCGAAATCGTCTCGAACCCGAAGTGTGTGGTGCGGCCATCTTCAATCCTTTCTTCTGTCTTTTGTGACTGGCGAATGGAGCACGAGAAGCATCTGTACAGGATCGGCTGGTACTTTTTCCGTTTCGCAAAACAGTGCAGACTCCTCCATGCTGTACGCCCACATGCAATGGTCTTGGTGGTCATGACCCAGATACTGGTGCTATTGTGCATCCATATTTAGCACGTCAAAGAAAGGTCAATGAGATCCCGCCGCTCTGGCGATTGGTCCATTGGCTCTGGCTCTTGCCGCAGGTCAAAAGTCTGGGCACATCCGGCAACTATTTGTTCGCTCGTCCGTATCCAATTGGCTATGATTGAGCGGCGTGTCTGATTTGATTGATATTACGTTCTTAGTCTCTTTCGTTCACCAGTGTTCTATGCTCTGTGTCTATATTTACACTGAAAAAACTGGATGATGTCTATGCATCAGAAAGATTGTATTGCATAATTTATTCGCTAATCAGCTATTTTATAGTCCTATGTTCAAATCCTCGGTTCCCTGTGCTTCCGCGTGTCCATAGTTTTCGTCTATCATGGATAGGGCAAACTTGATTGATTGATCCGAGTATGAAGCTCAACAAGTTGCGTAGCAGCAACTACGTAGTAAAGCTGATCCGCTAAACGCCAAGCATAACCTGCACGTGACACCGTCCCTCGAGATCTATGGTTCACCCAGAAGATCCTCCGGTCCTTGTCATCATTAATTAGCGCTTGCCAATCGCCATGTCAGTTCTACAAAACTTACCGACACCATTCAGAGTAATCAACTCAGTCACCCGCAGATAGCCTATTGTCCTCTTCACCAATGGCGCTTGCCAATCGCTGCATTGGCGGAACTGACACCGTCCAGAGTCGCCGCGTTCGCTTCCGCGAGGGCTTGATCAACAGCATCCTGCCATGATTGGCGTTTGCTGATCGCCGCACCAGCAGAGTTGAGACCATTCTGAATCGCTGCACTGGCTTCCGTGAGTGCTTGATCAACAGCATCTTGCCATGACGCCTCTCCTACTGCGGCGTCTGCAGTACTGATACCGTTTGCGATTGCGGCATTGGCGTCGGCAAGAGCTTGATCTACTGAGTCTTGCCAGGATTGCCGCTTGTCAATTGATGCTTCAGCCACGTCAATGCCTTGGGTAACTGGGGCGGCATTGACTTTGCAGCTGATGGCTGCCAGCGCTAGAGGGACTAGGGTCGCGAGCTGCATATTCAATACTTCTGACGTGAGTTGAAAAGCTGGGGGGATAGGCCAAGGGCTGGTACGTGAAGAATAGCCGAACCTGCTGTAAAGGAGCCTGTGGGATATGGAGGAAATGTGCAGTACGTCTGGGGGACCCCGTTTATATACTAATTGCAATATCTAGGTGATGTCTTACCGCAAAAGCTTGTGCTCATCATACACGGAGAGCTACAACACTAAGACACCAGAATGGTCCGAAGGAGCTGAGGATGACAAGCAAGGGGCATATTCGAGTTACGGTCGAATGCTATCGCTGGGTGGCTGCATGGTGCCTTGCGGGAACGGCCTTGGGCAAAGCACTATTAGATTATAAAAGGGAATCGTAGTGAAGATTGCGCTTCTATGCGTGAACGCAACACTTAAACGAGGTCGGTTGCTACCGAGTGAGAGCCTTGTCCTTAGGAGTAGTTGCCATTTACGGCCGTATCACGGGAGTGGAAAGGCGATATAAGATGGGTACCGAGGTTAAGGAATTCCCAAAAATGGCTTGGTAGAGTGCTGATCCCTGCTATTTAGCTGAAATGTAAATGTTCATGCGATAAAATCTTGATCTTATGCGGTGTTACGAGATTCCTCTTAGCATAAACTCAAGCTCCGTCATGGTAAAGAAGCATATCAAGTTACGATTTCGCAACCTGATCTCGCCAGCACCCCAGCAATATCGGAATGACTGCATATGATAGTCCACGAACGTGGGCGGCACATCATCCGATTAAGATGTCGCTCATCATGCAAGATTTGGATAAGCAATAGCTGGGGCGACCTAATGAAAGACTTGATGGAAGACCGCGGTGATTCGACACTTCTTCGTCATGCTAATTGAAGCTAGCTGCAGTAGGAACCATGACTGATGATGTTTTCGAAGGATATTGCTGCATGCGACCTCCGCCACTGTCTGACAGGATTGAATGACACTTGGCCTCCGTGTAAGGAGGGATGGTGAATTTCGTATTCCCATGTACCTGCTCAACACGTTCTCGTCTTTGGAGCTCCTGCAAAGAGTGGTGTCTATGTACCAGTCCAACCAAGCAAAGCACTGATGATGCAGTGGTCCGTTCCTTACGCCACAGAGCCTCGACAGGCGCATTGGGGGAGCTCCTAATTCCCATGCGAGAAAATTGAAAGCGTTGTGGTCTGGAAAACCTTTCCACTCTAGTCACAGCAGGCGCTGGTAGGTTTTATTGTTTCTCAGCCCTCTCTTTAGACAACACATATATATAGCGCCTTTACTACGGTGCCCACACATCTTGCTCTTCCACTCCGTTGTTTAGTCCAACACATCTCAACTCGCAGCGATTTTTGTTTCATGCTTTGTCCTCTGGATAATTGATAGATCAGTGTGTCCACTTGAATCAAATTGAGTCAGATATTCCAAATCAAATGCTTAACAAACAACCCAAATCCATGCTTATGTCAAACGAAATCAAGACTTAGAAATTTGACAAATTAGTCAGATCTCTTTTATTTTGAAATATTCAGGGTTATTTAAATGATCTTGGCGGACTATGTTTATAAGATGAAAATCCTCGGTGGTCTTCTCACAAAAGATCGCTTCCTAACGTTTGACTCCATTTGACAGACGAGTCAAATCAAGTCAAATCAACCGTTAGGATCAGATAAGCAACCCAAATGAGAGTCATGATTTAGTTTATTTAATTTGGTGTATACACTGTGATGGATGCTTCTTGGACACTCTGATAAACTTACGTCACTAGTATCTCGGCACGCCTTGGAGCTCTGGCTAGAGTTACATGGCTGATATGTCGAAAGTGAAAAGTCATATAACATATCACGTTGTCTTGCCTACTCTGTCTTTAGGTGGTACATTTTCACCGCAGTTGGGTCTCATACAGATATTGTCCTAGTGGAGTATCTCACTACCGTCGTCGTGGGCTCTGTTCCACTAGAACTAGTTATATCTCTGGCCAATTTCAAGCCTGCTTGGGCTTGGTGGTTTGGGAAAAGGAGTGAGCTATATCAGCCATCGAGCCGTCTGCCAGGACGTAGGCTGTATCCAAAAAAGACCCTCGTGGACTTGTCAGATGACTTGTCAGGATAAGAAGAATATTCTGATGATGAACTGGTAACGGCGACTTTAAGTGGTCGAGATTTGAGTAAAGTTTGCTATTATTGTATAGGTCAACTTCTGGTAGCCACATTTAATCTGATACTTGCTGTACTGCTTTCAATGACATCAGCTTAGAATATGTCGAAATATCATACATGTCTCCCAAAATCTACACATCAAAGCCGTGCAATTTAGCGCCATTCAACCCATCTTGCCTCGATCCCCCAGATGGGCTCAGTGGGCATAACCACACACGCCATGCTCGTAATGGGCTAGTTGTTGACTAAGCAGACATTGTCTCACATTGACTTAGTCATCATCCAAGCCACAAGCACGGCTGAGAACTGAGGCAAGACTTACGTAGTAGGAGCTAATTACCGCAATGCCGATGGTAACCGAACACAACCCTCTCCTCTACGGAAGAAATGGAGATTCTAAGATTCGCATTGCGCATCCGGACTGTTTTCTGCTATCAACTGAATATAGTAACTAACTAAATGAAAGCTACAAGAAGGCCTCATGGATTCCGCTTTAACGTCTCGACTGGCTACGCAGCGTGTCGCGCAGCGTCTAAACGATGGAGCTCTATCTCCCAGAGACCTGGATCCGACCAGTATGTTCTCCTTATTATGAGTGCTGCAGAGGGCTAAATGATCAATGTACAGTGTGCACTTTCCCGGTGCGGTCAACAGCAAATTTACTTCCGAGATGATCTTCCAGAGACCTTCTACCCACCCTACGATCCCAACGTACCGCGTCATGGACTCAGACGGCAATGTTGTTGACAATACCAGGGATCCTCAATCTGCGCCAGACTCAGAAATCCTGAATTGGTACAGAAATATGCTCACCGTCAGCGTCATGGACCGGATAATGTATGACGCTCAACGACAGGGCCGCATCAGCTTCTACATGGTCTCTGCTGGGGAGGAAGGAATCGCTGTCGGATCTGCATCTGCGTTGACGTCGGATGATGTCGTATTTGCGCAATATCGAGAAACAGGGGTATTTGCGCAGAGGGGGTTTACATTGAAGGATTTCATGAGTCAACTGTTTGCTAACAAGAATGATGCGGGAAGAGGGAGAAACATGCCAGTACACTATGGTAGTGCAAAGCTGAATATACATACCATCTCCAGCACGCTTGCGACGCAAATCCCACAAGCGAGCGGCGCAGCATACGCGCTCAAGATGCAGGCCTTACAAAACCCTAACATACCCCAGAGAGTAGTGGCATGCTATTTCGGCGAAGGAGCAGCCAGCGAAGGTGACTTTCACGCCGCTCTCAATATTGCAGCAACGCGCGGCTGTCCCGTCATCTTCATCTGCCGTAACAACGGCTTCGCCATCTCCACCCCAACCTTAGAGCAATACCGCGGTGACGGCATTGCCAGCCGCGGCATCGGCTACGGCATCGACACCATCCGCGTCGACGGCAACGACATCTTCGCTGTGCGTGAAGCTACTCTAGCAGCGCGGAACATGGCCCTCCAAGACGGCGGTCGTCCCATCCTCATCGAAGCAATGAGCTACCGCGTCAGCCACCACAGCACCAGCGACGATAGCTTCGCCTACCGCGCCCGGGTTGAAGTCGAGGAGTGGAAACGGCGCGACAATCCAATCTCGCGGTTGAGGAAATGGATGGAGAAGAAGGGGTTGTGGAACGAGCAGATGGAGAGTGAGGCCAGGACGGAGATCCGTAAGCAGGTCCTGCAGGAGTTATCTGCTGCGCAGAAGGAAAAGAAACCACCCCTGAGGGCTTTGTTCGAGGACGTGTACGAGGAGATTACGCCGGAGGCGGCAGCGCAGATGAAGGAGCTGAAGAGGATGATCGACACGTATCCGGACGAATACGATGTCTCTGGATTCGAGGGCGGTGTCAAGAGCTTAGAGTGAGAATGTTGCTCGTGGATCCATCGAAGCCGGCTTTCGGCTACAGGACCGACATGAAGCAGTCCTCCCATTCTTGAGGACAATTTGCCACGGCCTCAAACTCAAAGCAAGGACTTCATGAGCCTCCGAGAGCCGAAGCTTGAGTCAGGGCAGCGTCGGACCTATTCAGGCAGTTCCTTGAACTGGTATCACGCTATGTATGGTAGGCGTCAAATCGGCGGCGTGGACCTGAGAAAGAAGACCGCACCGCTGTTGGATGCGAGCACTGGCACTACGAGATCTACACCGGGCTATTCGAATGAAAAGGCAAGAGACCATGTAAATAGGACACCAATTTGAGAAACAAGGAAAGTCAGCGTAATGAGCTACTAGTCATGGACTGCCCCACTGTGTCTCCTGGTGAAGGATCAGAGACAAACAAGAAACGGGCAACCAGAAACAACTTAGAACCACTTAGCTCTCACTGCAAATCCTCTATCTAACCATTCAGCTGTCTAATCAATCCACTTTCTCCGCCTTCCTCCTCCGAAACCGATCGCGAATCCTTACCAGCCTCCCTCCAACCCTGTCCCTGAACGCCCTCCAATCATACCCCGGGGCCTCATCCGCGCCCACAAACCTCCTCACCAACAGATTGAAGATGCTCCCGAACGCCAGCGCCATGACCGTGCTCGTCAGGATGATCACGTTGTACGGCATGCTGAAATCCGGGGTTGGCAGCGTGAGGAGCAGGCTTGTCGTGCGGATATATACATTCCCGTCCCTGTTACCCTCCCTTAGCCCTATACTTGCTACAGCTGGATCAGATATGGAGCGATCGGTGGTGATGGTGGAGGTCTGATTTAAGACCTTGATGACAGCGGGCGCGACGTTGAAGCCGCGATTGGCGTCGGGCGGGTACTCGGTGTATCTTAGGATTGCCTTTTCGAAGTCGTAGGTCAGAGTTACGGTGCTGGAGGCGGGGATGGAGAGGAGGAGTTCGAGTTGCGTGCCGCGTTGCCGGTCGATGGCCGGGACGTAGTACATTTCTTTGATGACTTGCCAGTTTGAGGTGGTGTATGTATTGGGCGGCGAGGATGGGGACGAGGAGGTGATGTCGGCCTTTAGAGTGTGGATGAAGGGACGCATGAACCAGGGGAGGTTTTCGAAGTAGACCAGCTGGACCGGTTCGATAGGGGACGGATTGGTCAGGATGGTGCGTATGCCGCCGTTTGCGGCGCCGTGGCCAACGATTGTGCGTTCTGCACGTAAGGGTTCGTGGGGAAGATTGGGTTGCGTGTTTAGCTTTTGTGGTATGACTTCAAGGTTGAAGACTTCTTCAGGTCGGAAGTGGTAGCAACGGTACTCGGTGGACTGACTAGGTGGGTTTTTGACTTCGAATGCGCCGAATGGCACATAGACTTTCCTCTCGTGTGGAACGTGGAGACAGAGCGGTTTCCATTCTTCGTCAATCAGGGGGCAGGCTCCAGGGATTTTCCTTCCGAAGACCTCCTCTATTGACCACCCTATCTCTTCAGTGGACTCCTTTGGGTAGCATGTGTCGTGCGCATGGTACGGTTTAGACTCATCACAGTTTAATTGATCTGCTGGAATGGGGCGGGGAATTGGATTGTCGCGAGGTCGTTTGGCTCGCTCAATGTCCAGGACCATATCGATGGTTTGTGAGATCTCTATGTGGCATTCGTCCGCTCCAGCAGGGCAAACAGGATGAACATCAATTGACATACTCTGCCAAGAAGCATCAAAAACCTTGTGGCCGTCCAACAGACTTGCGATGCCTGCTTTCCCTTTGCATGGAAGTAGCTTGAGGAAAGGAGTCAGATTCTCTGTGCAGACAACTTCTCCAGGAAGCACTCCATGCAGCAGACGCAAATGATCTTTCGAGACATCGTGATGACCCTCCGGGGAGAATGACCGAACAGGTCTTGTCGTCCGTGTAGAGTCAACAAAGTTCAAGGAAGCGCAAAAAAGACCAGACAGACTCTGTGTCAACGTAGTCCACTTGTGAAAGCTCTCCTCGTCATCTCCTGCATTAATCCACGCCCAAAGCTCCACCCCTGTACCTCCCTCTTTCTTGCCTTGCCATGGCCGAGCTCCCCACGTGTCTGCGTTCCACCTCCCTGTACTGAACCTCAGGTGTAGCTCTTTTGTGTTGGAGTGCTGCAGAATCTGCCCCAGGGACCGAGGAAAGAATCGGAAATTCTGTTTCTCGAATGATGTGACCGATTCATTGCTTCGGAAATCAAACGAGGCGAGCAGTGCTCCCAAGGGGAGAGGTTGAAGATTGAGTGATTCCTGGTAATCGGATTCTGCTGCTGTAGATTGGATCCTCAGGGCAAGAATGAGTCCCACGAGACACAGAAAGAGTCGCAACATGCCGTCATGTTGTCAATCAAGAAAGGCGATCCAAAAGGAAGAGTCCTTTGCTGCCTTATTGGAGGTTGTTGTAGTCGAAAGTACGGAGTAAAGTGCTTGCAGAATGGGGGCTTCTGCCACCTTGAACCTTGCTGCATTTACATACACAAATTCGCACGCGACTCACCAACGTTACGCGCCTACATAGAGCAAACGATACTGGCTGAGTTCTTGACAGAGTCTTGGGATCTTAAATTTCTAGTCTCTACCTCCCAGTCTTGCTCGCTTTACCATACTTAATAGAACAAGCGCAGCAGCCGTGTCAATTCTCCACGATGGCGGCAGAACAGCGCAAGCTGCTGGAGCAGCTCATGGGAGATCAGTTCTCCACCTCTGCCTCAGCTCGTAACGCAAATCTCACTCTCACCGACCCGAAAGTATGCCGTTCATACCTGGTCGGCACCTGCCCGCACGACCTTTTCACCAACACAAAGCAAGACCTAGGTCCATGCCCGAAAGTCCACTCGGAAAATCTCAAGCTCGAATACGATGCAATACCCGCTGCGGAGAGGAGCAGCAAATATGGTTTCGAGTATGACTACATGCGAGACATGCAAAAGTACATCGATGAGTGCAACCGGAGGATAGATGCCGCGCAGAGGAGACTGGAAAAGACGCCGGACGAGATCAGGCAAACGAATGCGCTGCTAAAGACTATCTCTGATCTCTCCAAGACTATCAACACAGGCTTGTTGGAGGTTTCGATATTGGGAGAGACGGGTTCAGTGGGTCTCGCAAGCACAGAATTCCATAAAGTGCGCGTGGCGAAGCAAGCCAGAGAGCAAGCCGAACGGGACTTGAAGGCCCTGAGTGACACGTCTGGGCCGAGTGGACATCAGAAATTGCAGGTATGCGATGTTTGCGGAGCATATCTGTCAAGGCTGGACAATGACAGGCGGTTGGCGGATCATTTCTATGGCAAGATGCACCTGGGTTATGCCCAAATGAGGAAGACATATGAATCGCTGCAGAAGGAATTGAAAGGACGGCCCCCTCCAGTGAGGCCGGAGGACAATGCTGCTGGCGGACCCCGTGGTAGCTTCGATGACGGACCGGGCTATGGTGATGGCGGCTGGGGAGGGAGAGGTGGGTTTGGTGGAAGGGGAGGATTCAGAGGCGGAGGAGGCTTTAGAGGTAGAGGTAGGGGCGGAGGTGGTTATGGTAGGTGGTGAACCTAGCCATACCATTGTTCAGTCAGTATCAGCGTGGCGTTCGGTGCATGGCTTGGTGAGATGGCTTCTCCAGAACAATATGTACAGATGCACTATGCTGCGAAGTCTACATGATAGCTAACGATATCATGTTCAGTTGAAAATTACTAACATCCTCCTTTCGGCTTTGCTGCTTCGCTCACCTCAACCTGATCAGCCCAACTTCCAGCACCTGCGATGGGTGATATGACTTCCGAGCTGGTTTTGTTCGGCTGTTGTCTCCTGGCTGTAGACGTATCGTCCCTTGGCTTCGTGGTTGCGGGAAGTGATGGAAAATCAACATCCGCTGTGATGTCGGGCTGACCAGCAGCACCGTTTCCGCGGCCTGCTCTCCCTCCAGCAGCGCCGTGTTCACTCCCACGGCCTCCTCGTTTACCTCGCCCTCGGCCCCCTCCCCTATTATCCCTCCTTTGATACTGTCTAAGATCCTCATCCTGTATTTCTTCGTGACTCGCTCGAACTCCTCCGTTAGCCCCTCTCACGTAATTACCTCTTCCCCTACCCCTAGAAGCCATCTTGAAGTCGTCTTCGTTCTTCTCTGCATCCCATTCCCTTCCTCCCATGACGGCCATTTTCCTGGCCCTATTCTTCTCTCGCTCGCCCTCCATCACCTTCCGGTTGGCCGCATCCTTGACCCGTTTCTCTGCCGCTGCACGTTCCCGCTCGTTGAAGCTAGCTGCGTCTGCTTCGGCTCGAGCATGGGCAGCGGAGCGGTTCTCAGATCTTGTCTTTGCGGCTGCAAGCTTAGCCGTGAGCTCTTCCTCAGTCAACTTGGGCTTCTTGATGCCCCCGGTCGCGGTTCGGTCACCTCGCACTGCGGGTGGCCGTGCAGGGGTGATAGGTTCGGTTGTAGGAACGGGACTAGGCGCCCCTTTGTCCTCTGGACCGTCTACCGGCTCTGAAGCTGGCTCCGGCTCGCCATCTGCGGACTTTGGAACATCAGAAGGGATGGCTGCTGGGGAAGTAGCAAGAGGAGCAGGATCCGGATCTATTGGCGCAGGTGCAGGCGCATGCGCATATTTTGATTGTAGAAGTGAGGAACTTGGTTGTCCTGAGTCAGCTCTGTCTACACCTCTCCCACGACCACCCCTTCCCCTGCTTCTGCCTCCTCTCGGATCATTTGCGCGGTGATGATTTGTTTCTGCAGCAGGACCCTTGGGAGCGTTCTTGAGGGAAATGTCGCGCACTTTCTTCGCAATCGTCTCTACTCCAGCGTTTTCCTTGGTAGGCTCAATGGGAATGATGTCATCATCGAAGAGGTCATCGTCGGCCCTGGATTGGGCAAATTCATCCATCACCGTGCTGGATGGTGGTGGAGAGGAGTCAGTCACGAGAATCCTACTCAGGGCAACTACTCCGTGTTGCATCGAACCCCAACAACAGGGGGAGTCCCCGCTATCCCAGTCGCTACATCTAAGTAACTAGGGGCCAGTCCCTTGCAGCCGCCATTTTCCGATCATGTCTCCATTAATAATACGCATACCTATGACTACACCCGCTGGTGAACATCTGTGAGACCTCTGAGATGTCCAATCCAGAACTTTGGTCGTATCCTCTTTAAGATCAATTTCACAATTTCACAATTTCACAATTTCACAATACCCAGTACTCATCTATTGTTCTGCTTTCAAACCTGCCTCTCCGGATAGAGAGACCTCTACAGTACATTCCACGAAATGGCCACCAGACCGAGACTTAGATAAAAACACCAGCAATCTACTTTCGAACTCCGAATTCTCATTATCTGCCCTTGTAGGTGCTGGCGAAGTGCTCTTGACACACATAGCACTTCGAAAGTATGATCTTACTGGTGGGGAGCATTGTATCTTTCTTAAGTTTCTTCCACAACTCCATGCGCAAACGAGGACAGAAATGAAATGAGCGCACTATTCCGGTTCGATATTGACACGCCAGGTCGCTCATGTCGTTGCTAAGAGCAGTTCAGAAGGAGTCTTGGAGATGTGTCAAAGTAGTAATATGAGTGTTTGTAAGTGCATTAAAATAAGATTACGATCCAAATGTACGATGGACCATAGATAGACTGTAGATAGACTCTAGCCGTCTGTTGCAGTATTGTGCTTGCAAAGCCTAGTTATCAGGAGCATGCAGCAGCAGATATTGGAGGTCATCAGAGTACCCTCATAAACAGTAATAGGGCTAGGGTACAAAGCGGGATATGGACGGACCAATTTAGTGCGGCTGCTTGGAAATCAACTGCGGTAACACTCAACTTCTTACTTAAACCTGAATCCGCCACCTTCAATTTTTCCTTCTACACAGTTCGCAAGAAGTGCAAAGGTCATCAAAACAAGCAGAGATCATGGCAAGAAGACCAGCGAGGTGCTACCGCTACTGCAAGAATAAGGTGAGCATCCCGCGACTCCGTGGTTCGACGACTGCATGTACTTACATTTGCTGCAGCCATACCCCAAATCACGATTCAACCGTGGTGTGCCTGATCCTAAAATTCGAATCTTCGACCTTGGTCGGAAGCGTGCCAATGTTGACGAATTTCCTCTTTGTGTGCACATGGTTTCTAACGAGTATGAACAACTGAGTTCTGAGGCCCTGGAAGCCGCTCGCATTTGCGCCAACAAGTAAGTAGTTTTTGAACCTATACCGCCATAACTGGTTGGAGCGCTGGTCATGTAACAATGCTGACTCTCGGTCTTGTAGGTACCTAGTCAAAGTCGCTGGCAAAGAAGGATTTCACCTCCGAGTCCGTGCTCACCCGTACCACGTTGTCCGAATTAACAAGATGTTGTCCTGTGCTGGAGCCGATAGACTGCAAACTGGAATGCGTGGTGCGTGGGGAAAGCCCAACGGGACTGTCGCTCGTGTCAATATTGGCCAAATCCTTCTCTCGGTCCGCACTCGTGATGCACACCGTGCTACCACTATCGAAGCTCTCCGCCGATCCATGTACAAGTTTCCGGGCCGGCAGAAGATTATTGTCAGCAAGAACTGGGGCTTCACACCTTTGAAGCGGGATGAGTATGTCAAGTTGAAGCAGGAGGGTAGAGTGTTGATTGATGGTGCATACGTTCAGTTCTTGAGGCACAAGGGCAAGGTCGAGGACAACATGAAGAGATTCCCGGGTGCGTACGAGACAGCTAGCGAAGCATAGATGTATCCTAGGGCGCGAGAGCTTCAGACGACGGCAAATAAATTTTCTTGGCGGACGAACCCCTAGGGAATATTTGAACTGTGATTCCCAAAGCACACGAGAAGAGTCAGTGCCAGACTTTAATTAGCTACGAATCACCCTGCGTTCAGACAATGAAAGATGTCACGGTTGCCCAAAAAGTGTCTGGTCCGCCTCTGCCAGTGCCGCGGGCCAATTTACAACACTTTGTTATGCTTGTTTACGTAGTCTAGATGCCAGTGCGCTACCTCTTTCGGTTTAGCCTCGCCTGATTAGGCAACGCGCTCTCTTGCCGCTTGGCCCGGGTATAAAGAGCCCGCTGCTCCTCAATCTCCCTCGCCGTCTCTTCCTTTCTGTCTTCTACTCTATCCTCTCCTCTTGTTACCCCTAGCTAGCCGCCCTTGTTGGCTTGCTGCGCCGCCGCTTCCGGGCTCTGCAGCATCATAACGCCAGGCCGCTGACCGGCTTCCTGCTTCTTACTAACCCTCTCTTTCTATTTTCGTGCTCTTATTCGATGCTCTCTTTACTGATTAATCTAACTATTAGCCTGGCCGTTAATGCTAATCTGATACATAGCCCACTTTACTAGACTTAGTGACTAGCGGTTTATATAATAAGGCCCTTATTAGCATTCTTTTCTTAGAATCCTACCTCTTTATTAATTTCTTGACTAACGTCTCCCTTGCCTAAGATACTAGCATTACTATAATTGGATTCTGTATTACCTGCCTCTCCTCTGTTACAGCACCTCCCAGGATGGGAAGGTTACCCGAGCCACGCAGCCCAAAGCTAGGCACTAGGCTTGGACACTAGGACCAGACTACCAGGATGGTTGCTCAGGGATAGCCAAGACTAAGCACACTTAAGGTTGCTTACCTCTGCTCACCACTGAGCACCACTGAGCACATACAGGTTGCTCACCTCTGCTCACTACTGAGCAGGACTAAGCATACGAATCTCTTATCTATATAAGCGCACTCCTTTCGCAGATAATCAGATAGTTCTTCTTACTCTGTAGTCAACTCATGTTATCAACTTACACCTAAGTTCAAGACATACTTATATCTGTTACTGCACCCTCTGTCCTACTTAACTAACCTACTTAGACTCAGCTTCTAGTTGAGACTTGTCTTAGCTAGTTAAGCCCTAATATTCTCCTCTTTAGTAATTATAACTTATTAACCCTTAGAGATCTTATATTAGCTGATAAGACGTTATAACAGAACTAATAATAAAAATGGCGTAATACTAGCTACATTACTTAAGAATAGCGTAGTAATAATAAAGTAGGTCTAGAATATATTAAGTAAAATATATAGAAGATAAGTATTATATTATATTACCTAAGAGTACCTCTATATTTAATAGAAAGCTAATTAAATATTAGAGTCTACTTTAATAGTAGATTTAAATAAGGCTATATAAGATCTTATTTAACTAAAAGAGTAATATAGCTAATAAATAAAATACCTTAATAAGGCTATTTTATAATCTGCTTTACTTATTTTTTCTTATTATTAGAATAGGCTCTTAAGTAGTCAGAAGCCTATATAAGCGTATAATATAGTTATAAATAAAATGCCTTATAAGATTATTTTAAAATCTACTCTACTACTTTAATTTTGTCACCTTAAACACTAGCCTTAAATTTAGACGTTTTCTTAATTAAAGATTTATATAAAATAAGTTATTATAATTATACTTCTGCTATTTTATTATCTTTATAAAGTTATATTTTTAATTAGTCTTTTATAAATAGTAGTATTACAGATAAATATTAATTATCTTTATAGTACTACTCTTAAGTAGTTATAAGAGACAGGCTTCTCTATTATATAATCTATAATATCTATATTATATATAATTAATTATATAGCGCTTCATCCTTTGTGACTCTGACTAACCCCTATTATAGATATCCTTCCTTATAGAGTTTAGTGTTAAGAGGTACCTGCGTTTAGCAATAAGGTTATTTCTGTAGCCTTAGCATTAGAAACATCAAAATTATAGAAGAGTATTATAGCCTTAGTGTTAAGAACATCAAAATTCGTTAAGACCTAACTGCAGCCTTAGCGTTAAGAATATTAAAAGTAAATTATAAGAGTAAAACTTTAACTAGCTATATTAGGCTAATTATAAGAGTTAAAAATCTATAAATAATAGTATTTAATAGCTATTATAAAGTAGAACCTATAAAGACCTAGGCCATAGCCTTAGATTAATATATAATATCTTAACGCAGCATTATATAATAGTATAATATGTCACTAGGAATATTATTAGAGGCTTAAAGGCAAGGCTTAAGAGGAAGGAAAGAGGCTTAAGGGCACGGCTTAAGAAAAAGAATAAAAGCATAAAAACAAGTACAAATAATCTATACTTCTCCCTTATATTATAGAACTCTTAAGTTTCGTCTTCTTATTTATAAGTAGCTAATTAAAAGCTTTTACCTTTATTCGTAATCTCTTATATTAAATGAAACTTCTTTTTTTATTAGATTAACTATCTCTAAATAATAAAAGATATATTAGTTTTATTACTTTAAAAGTTAAAGTATTAAAAGATAATATTAGTTTTAGGCAGCTTCTTAATAGTAGTCTTTTATTAAAAATTATAATCTTAAAGTTTAAGAGAAGTAATAAAGAAATAAATTTTTTAATAAATAATAAATAATATAATAGATAAGCTAGATAATAGATTAAATAGCTAGAAAACTAGTAATTATAATAAAGTAATAAGCTTCTCTAATATATTAGCTAATTAGAGAATAATTTTATATAGAAATAATAATAATAAGAGGCTCTGACTTAGTAACTCTAGATATAATAGTTAAGTAGAGCGGAATAAACTATATTATAAGTCTTATTAGAAGAGAAGAAGCCTAAGAAGATAATTAAACTTAATAAATACCCTAGTAAATAAAAAAGCTTAAAGCTCTAATTATAAATAGCTACTACTAAGCTAGTTATTAACTTTACTAAATATATAAATAAAATAAAGTTCTAGTCCTAATAAAAGAATTTAAGGGGAACGCTATAAAGAAACTAATAATATAGAAATACTAATATAGCAACTATAAATTTGTTAGCTTTAACACTCTTTTATTAAAGATTTATAAAGTTTTTAGAGATTAGTATAAGTGAGAAAATACGCTAGTATGTCTAAATTAGCTTTAGTAAGGAAAGAGTAAGTCTTTTTAATCTTATCTTTAGGAGTTTAAAAAACTACTTTTAAAGTTAGATTAATTCTTAGATTTAAATACTTCTAAAAAAGCCTCTTTAGAGATAATAATTAATAAGGATTTATATAAATAAATTATTTTTATAAGAACTTAGCAAATAATTTATAATAAATATAAGAAATTATTATTAAAAGTTAGCAAGAAAATCTAAAGATTAAAGAAACCTTAGACTATATATTAAAAATATTAGTAACAAAAC